GAATTCTGGGAGTTGAAGTCCACCCATCTTCAAGCTGCCAAGGTTGAGAAACACTGCTTATATGATGCAAATATTATAAGACCAGTTTCCAACTGAAGAAGTCTCTTGAGCTCTATGAATTAGCTCTAAGGATGAGCTTTTTTATTTTTTGTTTTTAATGTGCTAAATACCACCCACTTATAGATGTTGAGGAGTATTAATTTCAATAATGTACATCAGGTTGAAAGCTTATTGCACTTCAGATGATATTGTTGACTGAAATAACCTTAATTTCTGGACCTCAGTCTTCTGGAAAATAAACCCCAGAATAGTAGTACGTTCTGGCCAGAAGTCACGCTGCGCCTCCGGGAGTTTCTGAGACAGTGACAAGTCTGTTCAGGAGAATGAGAGCAAAGATCTTGCCTGCAATGGACAGCACAGAGATACCCCTGTAGTTTCCAGAGTCTGATTTGCTTCCTTATTTTTGAAGGATTGATGCCCACAATGAAGGCTTCACAGAAGTTGTCAGGCATCTTCTCTGTGGACCAAATGTCTTCCAAGATGTCTTGGAACTGCTGTAAGGCATTTGGGTCTACTCCTTTGTAGATCTTAGCAGGAATGCCATCCTGTCCTGTTGCTTTATTTGAGTTGATCTGTGAGATTGCTTTCTTGATCTCATCAGTAGAGGGAAGCAGGTGTAGGGCATCCAAGACTGGCAGCTGAGGAATCTGCTGCAAGACATCATGATCAACTATGGATGGCCTATTAAGTAGGTTGGAAAAGTGCTTAGCCCAGCAGTTTTTCAGTCCTTTCTGGTCTTTGGTCAGGCTCAACCATAAGATGACAGCAGGGGGAGCATCCTGAAGGACCATAAACTGACTTCATGGCACTGAAGAATTCTCTGGTCATATGCATGTCTGCAAAGCATTCCACTTGCTCAGCCTTTCTCAGCCACCACTACATTTTTCGCAGTTCCATTTGTACCTTGGACTGCAGGTGCTTAAACCTGTCTTTCTTTGAGACAGATGATGGATCATTCTGCCAGTCTGCGTAGGCCTTGTTCTTGGCCTGAAGGGCTGCTGAAATGGTCTCGTGGTTTTCATCAAACCAGTCTTGATGTACCTGTGTTTTCAGTCCAAGTACAGTTGTTGCAATCTGCATGATGACATCTGTAAACTGTGTCCACTTTTCAGACAGGTTCCTACAAGCGGTCAATTGCCAGAGAGTTTTTCATTAAGTACATCTTGGAAATGTTGGACTTGGCCTGGGTCTTGAGGTCTGCCAATATTGAATGACTTTCTGACAGTTCTTGGTTGCTTATGATGTAAGGGGCTATGTGCACTTTGAGAACCGACCAGACCAGCCTGCAATCTGTCCAGCACTCAGCACCTCACATGGCTCGAGTGATGGTGATGTCTTTAAAGTCATGCTGATGTACTATGACATAGTCAAGTAGGTGCCAGTGTTTGGACCTGGGATGCATCCAGGTAGTTTTGTACTTGTTTGCAAGTCTCAACATTGTGTTAGTGATGCACAGGTTGTGCTTGGCACATTTGCTCAGAATACATAAATAAATATACAAAAATGCTGTTAAATGTTTTTAAAAATCCTAATCAAGCTCAGCTCCTGGTGACTGCATGGATACATCCAAGTAGTTTTCTTGACAACAGTACAGAAATGGTTTGTCACTGTTTTCTTCCAGGATGGTTTTTGACTTCCTTGTCTAGCCTGCAGCCCTGGGATTTTCTAGTGGTCTCCTAAATAACAATCAAATCCAAGTTGCTTAGCTTTTTGCTAAACCAAGATCATCTGGGTGCCTTGAAAGATGGTCTGGAAGCTTCAGTGGTTAAAAACACAACTATCCAAATATTAGAGACAGCAAGATAGCTGAATATTCAACACCTACAACACTCCAATTGCTTAAGTGCTGCATTTCTGAACCCAGTTTAATTGGTTTGACCTCTAAAGCCTTAAATGATTTTAAATTTATTGAGTAAACCAGCATCAGTCTGCCTGCACTTTAGAGCTGGAAGAAAGCCCTTCTCTCTTGCTCTCCTTTGCAGGCTCTTTTGTTTGTTAATCTCAGAGACGTAGCCTTTTCTTCACTGGGCCCTGTCCTATAGAGATGCTGCTATGTGAGGTTCATCAGGTCATATTAGTGCTAACTTTTAAGAAAGACATCTTCATCTCTCAGACCTGGATGAACAGCCACAACTCTATGAAAAATGATATTCTGTTTTTATAATATGGACAAGTAGCCATATTATTACCTAATTTTATGATGCATAACTTTCCCCATTATATTCCAAGTTCATGCACTTTATTTTGGATAGCTGATCTATCACAGAATGTTTATGATCATACTTGCGTACCTGCATAAGGTATATTTTGTAAGCTATAATCACAAACATGCTTAGGGGTGTGTGTGTGTGTGTGTGTGTGATGATCAATACATAGTTGCTCCTGAACATTTTGCACCCCCACCTATGCAGAAGGTCAAGATCCCCTTTGTGTTTGCATGAAGCATCTCTGACTCTTAAAAACTGAGACACAACTGTGCAAGTTCAAGGTTTAAAATCTTGAGCAGTACAAT